AAAAAAAAAAATCAGCACTATCCAGGTTTTCAGATATTCATTTCTTACAGAAAAGCACTACTGTTGCATGTACAGTACTGGAGAGAAGACCTGATAGCAGAATAAGGTTGTAAAATCAATGTTTCCACTAATCTCTATACTTTCAACCAGACCAAAGGAGAGAAAATGCTGAGTGGTCAAGCCCTTGCAGAGAAGTCCTGAGGGATAACCATGTGCAAGAAGGCACAGTGGAATTCATTTCTAATAAAGGGCTCAGCTTTTTGTAGTCTCAGGATCTTCAACTGAGCTCTTGAGTACTTTACACCTATCAGTAAGCTCATTTTTAAAAAGGCTTGTCTCTTTTAAATAGTCCAGCTACTATTGATTTTGAGGCTGTGCCATAACAAAGACTCCTTTTGGAGTTACGGAAAGCTTTAACTTCCTGCTCTTCTGTGCAGAATTACTGATTTCCCCAAAAAAACTTCAGGCAACTGCGTATATCAAAATAAGGCATTTAACCTTTCTCTCCCTGACACCTACGATCAAAGGGCCTTGTGAAAAACAATAGCAATAACTTGTACATTTAAACAATTTTTTAAAGTCTTTATTCCCTTTTTTAAGACCTAACTGAAAATCACATGAGACAAAGGCATCCTTCAATAAACCTCACAAACCAAAAAGTTCACATAATATTCAAAACCTAAGAGAGCTGAGACATGCAGAATTTTTTCAGGAAAACATCAATTCAATATTTTTAATTTTACAGGTCAGAAGTTAAATTACCCAGAGAAATTCAATGCGTACCAATTTCATGGCTGAAAGACATTTTAGGTAGGAGACACACAAGCAATTTTTAAGCTTTTTTTTCATACCAACCCAGGCTGACATTAAAAATTGACCATGTGTCACTAACTGACAACTCAAGTTCCCAACACCTTTTTGATTGGCAACAGAGTTCTTCAAGCACAATAATAACTCAACTCCAAGCACTTCAGCAGACAGTACTATACTTCCATCAATGTGTGTGGATGGTGAAATTGGATTTTTTAAGCTTTAATTTTTCTTTTAGCTCAATGAGGAAAAGAGTACAATACAGTATAACAACAAATAACAGACTGCCTGAGGAAACTTTACAATTAATAATTTTGTTCCAGGAAAAAATTGGATATTAATGGGATAGTTTTAGAACATGAAGATTACAGAGAAAGAGAGAACATTATAAGCTACTGGAAAATAATAAATGTCTGTCTGTGTGTGTGGGGGGGGGGTTTAAAGATGAGTAAAAAAAAGATAACATCCCCAAGCTTATACCTTTCCAGTTTACTGAAGCAGTTCCTCAAATATATGAGCTGCAAACAGGCTCCATCTTCAAATGTTTTAGCAGAATTGCCAGTTTTCCATAGTGTAAGTGGTACATTTAGTAACAGCAATTTAGCTGTCAATTTGTGTTGTTTTTGAGGAGCAAAAATTAAATGGAAATTGCTTGTTATCTCAGATCTTAAAAAACAATAAACAAAGCCAGAAAAGGGCTATGCTGAATTTTCTTTACTTGATACTGTTCTGAGGTAAAACTAAGGAAAACCCATTAATTCTACATGAGAAAAGCAGGTTTTAGTCTGTAAGGATGAACTCATTAATTACCTGCTGTGTGTCAAGTCCTGCCTATAACGTCCACACGTGTCTAGTACAAAAGATGTATGCACCTCATTAAATGTATAATCTTTTCAGTACAACACAAAAGTATTCCATCTACAAATGAATTTTTGCCTGATAGTTTGCATAAGGTAACAAGACACAAAAAAGCACAAGAGAAGTTAGAATGGAATTGTTTGGCTTTTGTGTGTGTATCTGTAAATCCTCGATTATTGCTTCGCAGAAATGCTTGCTTCTGATGGGTTTTGGAAAAAACAAATGCGTTCCCACAAGGAACAATCACCCTGGGCTGCGTAATACTGCTTTTATATTTTCATGTTGGCCTAATATTTAATGCATAACAGTAACACGCTTGACTTCACCAACACTTTCCAGCACCTGGCTGAAAAATAATAAGTTAAAAAGACAGTAAAACAATCTAACGACTATAGAGGTTATATAAGTACACAAGGCATAATCTCTTTTAAGTTCCAGTTCTATGTATTGCGCTCTCCATAATTATCATTTTTTTTATTTTTCTTCCCTTTATATTTTAATAGGTTTTTAATGTGAGTGTCAGCAAGGATTCACTATTCAGTGTGTCTCTCTTGGGAATGCACCAAGAGAAAAATATCCAATAGGCTTCTACTTTCATTCAGTTCCTGGTATTCCAGGAATGATGTAAAAAAACAATGATGAGTGCTTTCACATATTACATTCTTATGAATTATAAATCAAACATATATAAATAAAACATATAAATACATTAAAGAGGGCAAGCAGAGGCTTTTTGTCTTTATCTAGATACAAGAGGACTAATGTGCATTCTCCTTATTTCACCTGAAGTAAAAAAAAAAAGATTTTATAGTTGCCAGCAGATTTGATCATTTATCTCAAAGAAACAGCGCTTCAAAATGCATTCAAATGAAATCATGCTTTCCAACTCCGATTGCTTTAACGAGGGCAATAAAAATGATGGGATGAGGCCAATTTCAAATTATTTCTGATTGAAAGAGTTACAGCAGAAAGAATAAATTACCCAAAGATGTGAACTATTTCCTGACTCATGTCTGCTGAATTCAATCAACACAACTTTTTCTAGGTGTTGTGAGAAGACTACAAATAAAGTTGCCTTCAATAACACAAACTGCTTTCCAGCCTTTTCAGCTGTTTGCTTGAATCCTGCTGAGCAAAATGTTGCTGCATAACCTAAGACACTGTCAAATCATTGGTAATCATACACTAAGTCAAGCATAAAACAAAACACTTGATGTAAGCTAAACTGCAGGACACTACTGATTATACGCTAAGGTCGTTACTGCAGATGCTGGTCTTTGCAGTTTTGAAAAATATCCCAATGCTTTTCCACTGGATTCACCCTAAAACTCAGATTGATTTAAAATATTAACTCCTGGCAAGGGTAAAGACACTCTTGATTACAGCATTTCATGTTTTGCCACTTGACGTAGAGACATTTTCAGACTGAGGCTGTAAATATTCTAAACTATATATAGTTACATCAACTAAAAAATAATTTTCCAAGCACATACTGGATACATTACATGGTAAACAACACAAAGCAGTGACAGTGTCTTAGGGGATTTGCCACTCCAAAGAAACCACAGCAACTGAAAACACATTTTGACAGCCACAGAATCAACCTTAAGTCATGTTTATTAGAGTCCACTTGCGTATTCAGTAAGCACTAATAAACTCTGGAATGAGAATGATTTTTATAACAATTTTGGTAATATTTAACTGGTATTAAATAGGAACTAAGTGCAGAGGCGATTCTTTTGATGATCAGAAGGCTCTTTTAAAATTGAGTCCCCACCAAAGGTGGAATTGCTGATGTTTCCTTTAAGACTTGGTTCGACTAAGATTATGGCTCTTGTACGACATGAGAACAGCAAGGACCTGCAGTTAAGAAATATTGACATGCCCTCCTGTCAGAGCCTTTCATGTTTTGACACTGCAAGTTCCACAGTGCCTTACAGGAGAGTTAATGCCAACTGGAGAGCAGCATGTCTGTCATTCACTTCCCTGCAAGCCTGCAAGTGCCCGAGTTCCAGTCTTGCGAAGTTGATCCTGGTCAGCCGATGGCCACCCTAACCTAGAGGGACTCAGCTAACTTGGGCTGCTGTCTAGGGAATCCCCATCTGTTAGTTAGCGACATGGCACTTCTCTGCCTGTGCTCTGGCCCTGTGCTATAGGCAAGTGCTTTTACCGATTAAGCCACTTGGGATCATGATTTCCGATCTTCAAATTGTGAAAACACATATGCATTAAACCCGTTTCTTGCTAGATTACATGCAGCAGAACTCTAAAATTCAGGTCACAGCTATGTTGAATTGTGGCACAAACAGTGGAATCTTTACTTCAATACTTCTCTTGCTCATAAACTTCTATCATATGTATATACTAGAGTTCTCAGGGTCTATTTCCTGCTTGGTAGTGAAACAAGGACACTAGGTCTGTATTGGAAACGAAAGGGAAATTAAATTAGGAGGAAGAGTTGTAGATGTCTGGAACATTTTTCCCAGCAAATTCAGAGGCCAGAACACTGGGATCCTCCGAGAAATGTCTTGTGAAATTTTAGATTCACTCACCTCCTAAACTATAAGTAAACAAGCATCATAGGTTGAATTGTTTTCAGAATATGAATAAAAATCGGTCAGCCAGTCTAATGACTTGAACATTGTTAAGATAAATGACAATGCTTACAATTGTTAGTTTCAGGGACTATACCTGAGTACTATACCTGATTACCTGTTGAGTCAGCCTTCCTTCATGGGTAACTTTTCTTTTGCTCTTATAGCAGCATAATAATGATTACTTCAGCCTTACTTCCCTACAAAAATTACTATGCCTCCATATTTCTCTGCAAGAAATACAGAGGTGTCATGCAATCTTTAAAGCCTTTGAAATATCTTTAATCACGTCTTCCAAAATAATGTATTCACAAAACAGCCCTGGAACGGAGCATCTCATCCTGTCCAACTACTTCCTCTAAAGGTGATAAATGACACCTTTCTCCATACGCTCTATAATTATTTTACATTAATCAACAGACGAGTACCAGCTGTCACATCTTTCCCCTCTGTCTTTCACTTGATATCTCTTTTATCATTAGCTAGACTGCCACTGATCTAATGCTGTACGACAATGATCTAAAGATGTGTAGCCATGGAAACCATAAAATTGATTAAACCTCCATGGGAGGAAAAAAAAACGAACCCAGAATTACAGCGAATAATCAGAACATGCATCTTCTTGGTTTATTTATATCTTGTTCAACCACTGATCTGTAATGTAAGATCTAGCAGAATACCAAATGACACAAAATCATTAGTTTCAGCTTGCACTGAAGAACAGTAACTGACACTCACTCTGCCAGCTCCTCCAAGCTCCTGTAGACATCATCTTCATTAAGCGCAGTGTCTTCTGAAGGAAAAGGCCTGGAACAAGTATCAAGACCAAAACAGTTAGAAATCGTAGAACTTAACTGTACCATTACAATGGATCATTTAAAAAACACTTTTCAATCTCAAATGGGCAAAATTAGATGTTTTGGAAACTAGAACAAAAGCACCATTGATAAATAGTACAAATTAAAGATCACAATCAATGTTAAAATAAGGAATCAACAATCACATAAACTTATAAATGTTGTCATTAAGAATATTTCAACAAAATGTTATTTTTAAATGGGACTCTTTGTTGTATTTCTGTGTTTTCATTGAAACATCTGCATTTTTCCCTGTCCTGCTAATTGAGTGGTATGAGTAGTGGGGCTGAAAAGCTGATAACTTTGAGAGATTTGGTTTGGAGTTTTAGTTGAGGGTGACATGGTCCTAAATTGTTGCATTAATGTAGATTCTGTAAAGAGAAAAAAAATCTATAAACTCTGCAAAGAGACAGCACTGTGAATTTAATGGCAACCATCTTTTGCCTCTCTAAAAGTAGCAGTTCACTTGTTAATCATCTGGAATACAATTTTCAAGAAAAAAAAAAACAAAAAAGCTGTTACCAAAAGTGTAAACTGTATTGATTTGTAAAGGGAAGCTGAAAGCTACAAAGAAGTGAAAGCTTTTCAGTAATTTCTTTAAAACCAATGAACAACAGACAAATTAAATAATCCTGATTACTTCTTAGCAGAAACCACATATCATTTTGAAATGCATATATGGAAAGAAACTTGATTATACAGTAATAATCAAGTTTCTTTCCATATAAAATGTTCACTGAAGAATGAAAAATAAGTAACAAATGTCAAAAAGGAAGTTGAGTTTGAACGGCACTGTACATGTAAATGAAGATATGATGGCAATTCATAAATTGTGGGGAATGACCTGTCATCCTCAGTCACATGGCCAGTTGAAGGGAAACAACTGGTTGGGTGACTTTTAAAAGCAGGAAGAGGAGGTTGAAAGATTGGTTATCGATCTCTGCTAGCTGGGGGACGAGCAGAATGTCTGTTATTATAGGCTTCACCAAGGGGAGAAGGGAGCACAGAAGTGACTGAGTGACAAGCCTATGGACATACGATATGTGGCTTTATTGAAGTGTCTCAGAGTGAGGAGTTTTTGAGGAGTGTTTTTGTGGGAAGTGTCACAGAGACACACAGCTGGTAAGCAGCTTAGCTGCCCTTGTTGTACAGAGAGGGACACTTCAAGAAGAAGGGTAGATAGCAGCTCAAAGAGGAGCTTAGGTTTTGATTACTTTCTAGTTTGCTTCTCCCTGCACTGTAAATGAAGAATTCTTATTTTTTCGTCTTATGGTAGCCCTGTTTTCCCTTAGAGACCCCACTCATGAGTAGGCTACAGCACCTACACTTACATATCCTTTGCTCTATAAACCAAAGTCAACTTCTCATTCTGCTCAGTCAGTGGCTCTGCTTAAATCCACTTTGTCAGCCGTGACCCTAACTGTCCTGCAAACCAGCACAGTAATAGAGTCACAACAAAGACATGAGCGTCAGCTGCTTTTGTTTTTGCTTTTGGGCCAAAATGAGTAACAAATATCCAAGACATCTAGAGAAACAAGCTGAAAATCAATTTCATACATACTGCAGTTCTCATTTCTGTCTTTTAAGCCCCATAAAATGAAAAACAAATTTGGCTTCACAATTGTGAGGATAGGATAAGTAAATTTCACCCTAATAAATCTGTGATATTCTTCTTAAATAATCCCCCTTCCCAATTCCAGAATTTAATAGGTGTGTCTGCTACACATAATAAACAGATATGGATGTACAGTAGCTTTTCAAGGATGTTTCAATTTGTTTTGAAAGGCCCTCAGTGGCTAACACTCTTGAAATCTGCAAAGGAAACTGAGAGGTTTTTCTTTTTTTCTTACATAATTGTTAATTAGTTAATATAAGACAATAACATTAATACTTTTACATGCCTATGGCTGTTATTGTTAGTTTAATGTTAGCATTAAAAGTATATCATGTACGTTCATCTTAGAAATTTAATATCAAACTGCACCATATGAAAAAACGTTGGTTTTTTTAATAGTAATTGGATGTTAGACAAATAAAGCTCTCTTTTGTTGATAAATTAATGTCATACTATATTATTGACTTCATTGGATGACTATGAAATAAATACAAATTGTTCTTTGTGGATGGAGAAATGCTCCCTGATACTGATGTCAGATGACAGACAGATTTTGGAAACCTTAAAGGCACAGGCTAAGCAAATTATCTTAAACTGATGTCAAATCATATCAAGACTTCCACACAGTGTTTCTGGCATTGTTCAAAGTAACCGGGGCTTGTCAAAATTTCTGGGAATTACAAAAAAGCAGACAAAATTTGAACAAAAGTTTGTGATATGCACAGGCTTGCAATTTAACGTACAATATAGTAGTGTATGTTATCATTTCAGCCTTTTTAAATGGTCTTTTCCAGATGACTACCCAGTGCAACCCTAGGCATAGTGCCTACCGAATAAGACATTAAATCGGCCTTGGTCTTCTCTTAACAGTATTGCAAACTATAAAATAACGTCTAGCATATTTGACATTATAAATATAAAATCTTATAAGACCATAATATTGCAAGTCAGGCCCACCTTAACAGCAAGAAAGACGATGAAGACAGATGAAAGTTTATTTTCATTTTGCTTCATGAAGCTATTATAAGCAGATGTTAATGGACATTTCTGAAGATAAGACAAATCTGAAATGAAATCAAATAAAAAGCGCAGCCTTCATTTTGAAAACCTGACTTGCTCCACTAGTCTGCTAAATTTGGTTTACTGGCAAAGAAAAATGAATAGAGGAAAGTAGTTCTTTATCTCTGCATTAGCTTCTGGGAAAAAAACCTATTCAAAAGCACTATCTTTTTTTCTACCATGCTCCTGGTATGCAGTACCACAAACAGTAGCTACTGAGAAAAACGTACCAAGAGCTTGTGTGGTGTTCCACTGTAGCTAACAGTGTATCAACAGGTAGTAGCCTCTGTAGGAGAATTCTGTTCCACGGTCAAATGAAGAAAGTGTAAATTCTTTATTTCAATACTAACAATCCTTTGACTTACATGCTCTGGTTGGTTTGAATTGAGAATACATATTTTTCTGAACAGCTCCTTAATTATATAAGTTGTTTTAGAACCCACGAAGAAATCATTTAAAATTGCTCTCAAGGACACAACTATTTCAAAAACAACTGAATCATATAAAATAATGTGGGGATCTGAACAAGCACGCCTGTCCATCCATTTTTTGACTGCTGTATTTAACACAGGGTCATGGTAATTTATTAAAGGTATTTAATTTTATGCTGTTAGGTGTGTATGCACACTTTACTTTGTTTTGCAGATGTTTCCTCAAAGACCATTTAAGGCTAAATATAAAATATGCAGGACTGCCCTATATCATGAGAGGATTATACTTCAGTTGCATTTCAGTCTAGCTCTGTTTAGTTTAGATTCAGACAAAGATGCAAGCATCTCTGCTACAGCAATACTAATTTGATTAGGCCTCGAGCTCATAACAGTGGTAGTAAAACATGCTACCCCATCAATGTAAGAGGTAAGTCAGATACCCTGAAGGACAATCACACTGAAGGCAAGAACAGTCTGTGCCAGGTGTCCCTTTCTTTAGGGAATGCAAAGCTAATGAAAATGGTATTTTCTGAAGAGCCGTCACAGGCAGAGTGTGAGCAGATCTGACAGAGAATCGTGTGCTCCTGGTATTGTTTTGTGATAAGACATTAGGGTCATATTTGTCAAAGAGATTCTTCAGGATTTCTGTGAGACCCTTATGCTCATCTTTTCATTCTGCAAACCAGTCAATCAAAGTTTAGATTATCAGAGCAATAGTGGAGAAGTGGCCAACTCTGGTCTTTTATACAACATACAGATCAACTGTGAAACACTAATATATGCACAAATGTCCCATATTTATACTTTCAAAGAATTTAACACTTTCACCAGACCTTACTGTATAATCAACTTCTGAAAACAGAACAAGAGCGCAAAGTGAAAACATTAGGAATTCACCAATTCAAACCTATCAGCAGAAAGCAATGCACAGCCAAGGAGCATCCCATAACTTTTCTTTAACAGAGGAATCCAAAACTCAATCCTGCTGAACACTGGTAGAAATGATGACTCATGGTTTCAATCCAACATGCCATTTACCTTGTTAACACCTTAACTTAGAAATGGTGGTCTTGCTAGTTGAATGGTAGAGGTACTGTATGAGCTGCATATTTCAGAACATTGTAAAATACACACACCCTTGTTGCACAAAGACGGCCAATACTCGGTGGGGAATCCTAATGCTCTATTCACTGAATTTAAGGCACAATAATAACCCTGGAAATGAATCAGGTTTCATTTCTGCATTTTCTGCAATGATGATTAGATATATTTCATTATGTTTCCTTATTTCAGGCAGTTTCAGTAGTTTGTGCCTTCGAGCAATTGAACATGAATGTAGAGGTATGAAGACATATTGCTTCATTTTTGTTTCCTGCCGTTAGTAGAATTACTGAAGTATAACGCTAACCAGCATGTGTCTTGCTTTCCCTGTAATGCCTTGAAGCCAGTAAGGATAAACACAGACATTAATATGAAGCAAAAGAATGGCAGTGTTTTTTTTAGTTAATTAGTTTTATCACGATTGTTGCCAACAACTTAATAAAGGCGCACTCGTACAGGTATAACAGATAAGGAGGTGTAGATAAAAAACAGTTCTTTTGAAATGGAATTTCCTCCTGTAATGAGCAATACAATGTGATGAATGAAGGGAAAAAAACTACTAGCACAATACATGGAATGCATGTCACCCATTATGCACTAATTAATTGCTAAAGAGGACTTGGCCTACTGCTGGTGAGTCCACCTGATGTTTTGCTTCAATATAAGTGCTGCTCTCCTGTTAATGGGACATACTGGTTCTTTTATATGCATCTCTTTCCTAATATTCACCAAGCCTGATATTCAACAGGTTAAATCCTGCCATTACTGACATGTACAAAAATGTGTGGTTGTGCTTGTGCAACAGTGGCATTCCATTCCAACTACAGAAAAAAAGCATTTTGCTACCTAGCCCTCTTATACTGTACTTTTCTAGAAAAATAACCAATTATTTTGAGCTACACTGAATGACCTGACAATGGGAACAAAGTGAAAATGTGACCTTGATTTAGACATAACCTCACTCTGGTTGAGCTTGCATGGAATCAAGCTTATCACGAATGTTCACTAAATAAAAAACAAAACCTAGAACATTTAATACTTCATTAAAAGCATGAAAATTAGAGGGTATGTTTCTCTAGATGTTCAGTACTTATACCTCACTATTGCAGTGCTGCACTTGCTACATTCACTGACAAAGGGGCAAAAAAATAGGCAATAAATTATTAGATTTAAACTCAATTTATTCCAGGAAAGCAGACAGAGAGGAAAGATTATAAAGGTGGGCAAGACAAGTCCTTCTTTTCTTGTTCTTCAGTTTGTCTACCTAGAACAAGTCTCTGAAGCCCACCCTACCCCCACTGCCAATCACATCTCCTCCCCCTGCTAATTAAGTTAAAGTGCTTTTCAATTCCAAAAGATGCCTGCACACCACAACGATAATCAATACCGCAGAAGCGCAGACTGAAACGTCTATCGAACCATGGTCCATTTCAATCCATAAAGGGAGTGTCTGCATACAGCAGTAAATAATGTACTCGTTAGAGGTGCTGTACTGTTCATGCCTACAGGCACTTGGTATCCCAAAGCATAAAACAACCTCCTATTGAAATCAATACCTCCTGTCAAAGTCATATTTCCCTCTGCTCCCTTTTCTACACCTCGGAACATTTTTGTTACTGCAGGAAATCCTCATTATCTGGTCTTGGGATTGCTCTGGCAGTTGTATGCTAAAGTATTATCATCAGGCTAAAGTAATGGCTTTGATGTTTAATGAAATTATTAATATTACCTTGCCATGTTAAGCTCCATCCAAGAATTATGGTAAATTCATTCTTTCTATGTAGCACATCTATTCAGATCCCTTAAGTATTTACTATATAAACTCTCTCGAGTCTATAGTAATAGGTTATATTCTTGTAATTGTTATGAGAACACTGAGTTTTCCTACCATGTCTGCATTCTGCCCAGACACCCCTATACTCTTATTGCTTTTCCTCATGTATTTGTTTAACCCTAAATAGAGGACCTGACCCTGTTAATTCCCTGGTGTATCATGTTTTAAACACTGATCTGCTGGTGATGTGGCAATCAAATTAACAATTCCTAGAAGAGCACAATACCACTAACAAAGAATCGGACTCACTTTTCAAAGTGGCTCATTGATGGAATGGAAAGAAACGTATCTGTTTTTATCCTAAATCAATTTCAAATGTCTTTGACCTCTAAAACCATCATGGGGCTTTGCAGAAGTCAGAACTCCAAAGCTTTAAGATTAGTGTGTGATTTTTTTGGGGGGGTCACCATATTTTTGTGTGTGTTTTAAAAATAAGTAGATCCAAGTAGGGTAGACTCCAATGATCTAGGGTGCACTAGGAATGAATAGCTGAAACACAAATACAAATATTATCCTGCATTATCATGAAGGCTTTTCTGTATTTCCTTTTCACCCGAGAACTCCTACTGCAAAAAAGGAAAGCCTAAAGGAATTTCTACACTTTGATCTATGCTCATATACATGCCACTTACAAGGGCAAACTTGCACAGCACTGCTATATTTAATCTCTGCAGGGCATAGCCACACCCCACAGGGCTCAGCATGGCATTCCAAAGGGGGAGTTATTTCGCTCTTGTCATCTACACAAAACTCAGCAGAGCCCATGGTTCAGGCTGTAAGATTGGGAAGAGACTTGAAAAAAGACTGTGAAGCCTGTTAGCCTCAGCAACTGACACTGTGAGGAAGGAGCCTTTGGGTTCAGCATATGTTAAAGGTAGACGGTAAATGACAAGTGGCTCAAGTTACTCATTAAATACAGCCACTAAGTACAAGGCTGGTCACCAATGAAGAAAACGCAATGTTTTAGGGGCGTTCATGACAAGAATAATGAATAGTGTTATTAGCCACATACAATTCTGAATGATCGTGTAAGGATTTCATTGCATATAATCAGTAACTCACAGGAGCAATTTTATAGCATATATATGAACCAAAATTAAAGAATCTGCAATGTGACCACCTTCCAGTATGATCTCATTCTGTCCATGGCCGAGCCTGGTCAGCTCTCTGTTGCTAAATTGTGGCTAAATTCCTCTCTCTTTATACAATCTGTGCTCTGTGCATTCCCTCCTTGTTTCATTAATTCAAGTAGGAAAGCAACTTCTCCACATGATCTCTTGAGATATTAGTGGACCTACTGATGCATAATGGCTGCCACACATCATGAAGGTAGGTTGTAAAGTTCAGTGGTGAATGTAATAGGTCCTCTCCTATACTGTATGTGAAGTGCTTGGGAATACTTTGGGATGAAAAATACTATATTAATGTAGCTGTTAGATAGTGCTATTATTAACAAGAATTATTATTACTTTCAGATTGACATGGTGGCACAGAGTTGATGCCTTGCAGCACTAGGGCCCTTGGTTCAAATCCAGACCAGAGATGCTATTTGTCTGGAGTTTGTATGTTTTCTCTGTGTTTGAGTGGGTTCCCTATGGGTGCTATGCTTTTCTCCCACAGTCCCAAGGCATACTGGTAGGTTGATTGACTTCTGGGAAAATAGGCCCTGGTATGTTTGTACTCTGTGATGGACTGGTGTCCTGTACAGGGTGTATCCTGCCTCATATCTATTGCTTGCCTGGCTCTGACTATCATGTACCCTGTATTGGATAAAGAGGTAAGAAAATGGATGGATTATTAATATTATTAATGGTGATAATGACAAACTGCACTGAAAGACTGTGAGCAGCAACGAATAGACTTTTACCCACAAAAATACCGCACATAGCCTACATGAACAGCACAATGTTTATAATCTGACGGAGATCTGTTGAGGCTGCAATAAATTGTGCACAAATACTCAAGACCATGTGCTTTTGATCAATAAGCATGGCAGAGATGTCAAAATAATATTCAGGATGCACTGTGCACTTTTCAGATTTCAAAGGAAAAGCACTCATTCCAAGCTTGTAAATCTAAATGGAACAGCTTAAAAGCCAGCCTCATGTCATTGCGCACCTATTAGTGAAGTTTATGAGAGGCAAAGCTCAATACTGCAAGCCACAATGCAAGATTTGTTGAAGTTTTACTCTTGTAAGTGAATAATTCCTGAAGTTAAGTAAATGACTATCTTAGAAAAGGAACAGAACACTCAGTGAAATAGACTTAAAAAAAGAAACAGAAGCCTTTGCAACCAAAGAGCGTGAACATACATATGTATTTGTTACATCTTTGAATGTCTGGACATGTTCGGAGGCTTAGTTTATTTTGTTATGGGTTTGATATAAATTGCTGTTCCTGAAGCAGAAGCTCCTTATTTTAAAACATTACAATGGGGCAATTCAGTAAGGCCACTGTTAACGTGAGGCTTAAATCTGACTCTTACCTGATCCCTTTAATCTGTGCAATACTGTGATGGGAGATTCTGGAAAGGGCAGAGATAACCTGGAAGAGAATAGAAATACTTCATCACTCAGTGTTTATTTTAAGATACTGTAGTGTGTATGTCTCCTGATATTAAAGCAGTAGTGCCAGGTAACACCAACACATACATTCCTTTTGCAAGAAAGCAACATTCATTTTTTAAAAGCAACATTTACTCAAAAAATGTGCATATCTTAACTAATGTCAGTATACTCATAAAATTAACGGCAATAGTCTGAGAAAACCTTACAAGATGCCAATTTCAAAATATTCCTTTTCAGTTTATTGTTCACTGATTTCAAAAACATATTTCCCATTTGCATTACAGCATCATTACAAGGCTAAGATTATGGGGTATTTTAAATGACTTAATATAGCTATAAGTCACACACGAGTAAGCTCCTGCCATACTTAGACAAGATCCAGATGGCATTATGTTCATGTGGAACGATTAATGTTTGGTGTATAATGAAACTTTGATATCATGCTGGTCTGAATCATCATACCTTAGCTAGTTTCATCATTAATTGCTTTTGTGATCAGACTCACTGAATCTGCTCAATACCTGTGGTAAACACTGATGTCTCCTATACGCTGAATTTACAGTTCAACATATTATATACTGTAAGCATGAGAATGACCTGATCTGCGATCATACAAACTGAAAGGCAGTTTGCCCAGTGACGAAGGTTCTGAAATGTGCCCATTTATTCTAAAAGTATGTGGTGCTGTTTAGGCCATTACTCAAACTTTACCTCTCATGCACACAAATCGCTCTCACATACACACAAAATGCTCTCACAGTCTGCATTTTACCTCTCACATACTGTACACACAAAATGCTCTCACATGCACTAGTTTTACCTCACTAATAAACATAAAACACTACTTCACAATGCGAACACCAGAAACAAAACTATTGAAGGTGAGTACATTTTATGTGTACCGTATGTGAGATGTAAAACTAAGGAATGTGAGAGCGTTTTGTGTGTGTATGTGAGAGGTAAAATGCAGACTGTGAGAGCATTTTGTGTGTATGTTAGAGGTGAATTATGGCCCAATGTAGGCGGTCCATCTAAATGGCACAATGTGATTGGCTGAGAAAATTTATCAACAAGCTTTCTCATTTTCTGCTGCCCTCCAAGATGGGGGAAAGAAATTAACCTCAACTGCAACAAGTACTAAGCCAAGCTGTAGCTTTAATTAATAACATCTTAGCCACACCAGAAGCAATAGCTTAATTGTCATCGGCTATGACGCCTGCCATGAGTGTTCTTCCGTCAACGCAGCATGCAACTCCCGAAGCCGAAGTAATTACTTTATTTCGACATAATTTCTTTGGGTTTCATATTGTACAAACTGTCTCCGAGCTGATACTGGTACTAACATTCCCATCCCAGCTTCAGCACCACCACCATTACGTCGAAATCAAGTACTTAGTTTGGCTTCAGTGCCACGGGGTGCAAAACTGAACTCTCCCGCCCCCTCAGTTTGGAAACAAAAGGATTTTTGAACACTTTCACTTACTTAACTTGCGCCCTAAAAAATAGTTGTACTTTGTCAATGGTCAGATAACGACACTAATCCTGAATTCACAGTTACTAAATCGGACTATTTGATGTGCAGGAGGGCTATCCATCCAGGAATGGCACATATTACATAGTATCTACCTTATTGGGTTTCAACATTATTTCGGTCTTGTTTGCTCAGGTGGACCGATTCCTTGCAGTAGTTTATCCTTATACTTACAATCCTTATATAATAAGGACTGTAGTTATAGAAGTTTGTGCTTTCTGTTGGTTTTACAAATATTTTTTCTTAACGATTCAGAACCTCGTTACCGTCGATGTAGCTGCATAAATGAACGCATATGGTTTTTTGTCGCTCCAGGCAATAATAATCGTGAGAGAGCTGATGAACGCGAAACTGTATTTCATCGCTAAATACCAGATTGCTCGCCGTTATCTTCTATCATGAAGCACTAATCAGTGGCTCCGTTTCAACCAAAATATCGCTGCCCCCCGCAGAATTTCAGGCGCCCCCCTACAGATTTTTCCCATGGCACCGGCACTGCACATGCTGCGTTGATGGAAGAACACTCATCGCAGGCGTCGTAGCCGATGACAATGAAGCTATTGCTTCTGGTGTGGCTAAGATGTTATTAATTAAAGCTACAGCTTGGCTTAGCGCTTGTTGCAGTTGAGGTTAATTTCTTTACCTCATCTTGGAGCACAGTAGAAAATGAGAAAGCTTGTTGATACATTTTCTCAGCCAATCACATTGTGCCATTTAGATGGACCGTCTACAATGGGCCATAATTCACCTCTCACATATAAAATGCTCTCATACTCTTCATTTTACCTCTCACATACACACACAAAACACTCTCACATTCATTAGTTTTATCTCTCACAAGTACAGTAAAATGCACTCACATTCACTAGTTTTGTCTCTCACGTTCACATTGTGAAGAAGTGTTTTATGTATATGTGCAAGGTACAACTAGTGCATGCGAGAGCGTTTTGTGTGAATGTGAGAGGTAAAACTAGTGAATGTGAGAGCTTTTTGTGTATATGTGAGAGCAATTTGTGTGTGTATGAGAGAAGTTTGAATAATGGCCTAAACAGCACCTCATATTAAAGCATGTATTATCACACATATCATTTGTAGTTGCATATAATGATTATGAAATAAGGTGGTGGATAAGATAAGGCACTTCTTAGATAAAGGATAGTGGGTGTCCCGAAGAATCTGTCAAGTCATTTTGTTGAGGCAAATCCTTGGCTTCTTTCAAGGACTGTCTGAAAGTGATCCTTAGATCAATAAGTTACTATCAACCAGAAGAATGCAATGAGTTGAATGGTCTTCTCTCATTTGTAACCTTATGCCCTTCGACAGTGAAGTCAGTGTAAACACCTAAGTGGTCAGGGCTTGTAATACGTATTGTTATTAAAACCCAATCTTTGTTTTACCTCTATCTTCAACTGGGGTAAAGATCATGATCATCTCATCCAGTCGACCCATTAGATAATACTGTACAAACAGTATTATCTATGAGATAATACTGTATGAGAGCATGAGATAATACTGTAAAAACTCAGTAAATCAGGCCAAAACATGGTCTGTGCCAGAAAATTCTGATAATGTAAAATGAGTTCAGTACTGAGCGGCAGCTGTACTGTAAATTGGAGCTAACACTAACACAAGATGTCCAATGGAAACAGAGCTGAAAATATGAGCAAGGCAAAAGAAACCTTCCACAGAGGGTGCTCTAGTGCCACCATCTGAAGCACCAAGTCTAAAACTGTATTTTTCAGTGACCTCAATGACATTGAAGATGGTGCAAACTCTAATAGCACAAATCAGTTCATGAACTGAATGATATGGAACATCTCCAATAAGGACACCAGCCTACTAAGTTAATGCAAACAGGAGATCAGAAGACTTGCATCACTGATTTGATTATCGTTTAACTGCTGTGCAGATGTGCAGGCCCTGACCTTATTTGCTGAATATTTGCAACATTAGGACTCTGCCATCCATTTCAGTATGCAATAAATAATTTAAAGATTTAAAGTGATGAACAGCTGAATATCAAACAGTCATTACCTGACAGCAGTGAACTACTCTATGCTAAGAATAAAGAATATTTGAACAGTTAAAAAAAATAAGCTTATGAACTTTAATACACATCGTACTGAGGCTTGGAAGTATGCCAAGCAATTCCTTTTCTACTCAAGCTAGTCATACAATTTTCTAAGTCATTGTAAAAGTTAGTATTGCTGATGTTTGTTTCCTGGCTGTAGCTGTAGTTTTCATATGCCACAGAATTATGTTCATTAATATTAATGTTGTATAAATATAGACAATCCAGTGTCGTCATATCAGAGAAAGCCAGAATAATAGGCACGTCTAGTCTTCTGTGCCTCCCAACACAATCCATTATGTTCTCTTTAGTCAGACATTAAACCTATTCCATCTGCTTCTAAAGCATATTGATTTTTGTCCCTCTTGACCCATTAGATACTTGAGTTATCACATCCTTTGGTAAGACAGAACTATTGGGTGATGAACAGCATTTTTTATAGACACTTAAATATAAGTAGAAAGCTTAAAACTAATTACCAACAAACATAGTATACGTATTTCAATGAAAAAGTGGGGAATTCATTTTATGATCCATCTTCAATTAAATGAAAAAAACAACAATAAAAACTTAATGGGGGAAGGACCCATCAAAAATAAAACTTGAAATTAGGTCGGACTGCCTTCTATTATGTCAGTGTGAGATTACTTGTCCAAAGTGCAAGATGAGAAACACCTAGTAAAAGTTAAAAAAATCAGTTTTTATTCTATTCCTGTTTCTGATTTAATGCCTCAAAATTAGCCCTCTCTCAAATTCCATTGTTCCCTCCTCCTAGACAACCCCCAGGCAGATGTACTTCCATTATTGAAATGAAAAGCACTTCTTAATGCACCCCCATCCGAAATTACAGGAATAGATACATCTTAATCGTTCTCAATACAGGATTGGTTTTAGTTTAATGCACATTATGGAAGGACATGAAACATCCATACATTATTAATAGGCCATTTGATGGAAGAGTAGGAAAAAAAATCTTTGTTTAGACATTTTTAACGTAAGGTGTGGGATCAGTTTGCACACATGTCAAAGTGAATGTGGTGTGAAGAGTTACATTTTGCAGCTGGGAATTCTAGAACTAAGATCTACTGGATTTCAGTGAAACAGGGCAAAGGATTCACTGTGAACAGTGCCAGAAACAATACATTCTTTATTTTTCTGCTGCATTGTTTTGTATCATGGATAAAAAAGAGGGCTGCAGGCAACCATCACAGCTAAACTGGAGAAAAGGTTTGAGGCACACAGCAATGAAACGGGGCATGTAGCAACCTAAAACCATAGGGAAAGTGTATATTACCTTTTGTGGTTGGGGACACAGTTAAAAGGTGGTAGCTGTCATGCTGATCACCAAAAACCACTTTAAATAATGCAGCGCCAC